AAAAAAAAAAAAAAAAAAAAAAAAAAAAGAATACAAAATGGGGGCAGGCATTTGGCAAGGGCAAAGTATGTAGATGCTCTTCTGCATTTCTGCCGTATTCTTGAGAACTGTTATATGTTTTTCCTCTCATCTCTTTTAGATGGAAGTCTCTTAGCAGAGACTAACATTTACTGTGCATTTATTATGTACCAGACACTTTGACATCTAGCATCCCATTTCAGCACAGTTATCTCACAAAACATATGTTGTCGTCTCCATTTTACAGATGAGAAAACTGAGGCTCTGTAAGACAGGCAAAAATCACTTGTCCTAAGTCACACAGCTGGTAAGTGAGGATCTTAAGTCCTAAGCCCATGTTCCTCCCAACTATCTGCTTGTCACTAAGTGGGTCAGAGAGTCAACTCTGTGGGTCTTCGTTGCTGCGCACAGGCTTTCCTCCAGTTGCAGTGAGCAGGGGGCTACTCTTCGTTGCGGCGCGCAGTCCTATCGCGGTGGAGACAGTGATTTGTTCTGTGGATTAACCAGAGCTAAGAGGTATTTAAAAACCAGTCCCTGCCCAACTCCTTAGCATCTTCTGCCCAACTGGTGGGTGTTCAGAGGCTGTCAACTTATTTTGAACATTTATTCTTCATATATTGTCGACTAATATTTTTTTAATATTAAGACCAGGCAAATAAAATTAGGAGGGGAAATTTGATGGGACAGAAAGCCAGTGAGGTATTACAAACCAATTATATTTGAATTTCTGGATTATCCACAACTCCAACAGTGGCACAAATAAGAGGATAATTGCACAACTGGTTCTATTTCCTTTATTTCTTTCGATAGTGTGTTATACAGCTCTGCACACAGTAGGTGCTTCATAAGTGGTACTGACAGGCATCCTTTTGCTCAGTACCATTTTTGGAATTCTAAGCAGTCTGGGTTACCATAGCAGATGTCATGCCCCATTCATTTGACAAACAATACTGGTATCTACTATGTGGTAGATGTTATGCTTTGTACTGGGACTACCAAAATGGAACGGACATGATTTTTACTATCATGTTGTTCACAGGTTAATGGTAAGAAAGCCTGCAAATAAATACAAATACGATGTGGTCAGAGATATCATTGAGATATGTTCAGGGTGCAGTGAAAGCAAAAAGGGAAATCTGTTTGGAAGGAGTTGCGGGAACACATGATTTGATTCTTGAAGAATTTATCAGTTTTCCAAGGTCAGGGCATT